ATATATATATATATACATTTTTTATCAGGTTTTAATTTATTAGAACTAAATTCGAAATTCTTAATCCGAATATCATCAAAAGCTTACAACAAGCTTACAACACTTCAAGTATGGAAGACAGCCTATATATTAAATCTTGGTGAAAAGAAAATTGAAAAAGATCCGCAGAAAAAGGTCCAACTGAAAAGAACAATTCGTATGCAAGTAGCGTGAAGCAAGCCAATATCGCGGGCATCGATCGGACAAAGTATCGACTCGTCACTCGTGAACGTATTGGAAGCGAACTCGCGCAGTCGAATTTCCGTAGCCGTTATGCGCGTGCGCGCGCGCGAATTGAACGTACATACATATGTACGATAGAAGATACAAACAAACGAACGAACGAACGAACGAACGAACGAACGACTGACTGAACGAACGAACGAACGAACGAATGAACGAACGAATGAACGAACGAACGAACGAACGTGGGACGCGCGGAGTAAAAAGGTCAGAGCGTCGACGGACACTCGCGGACAATATGGATTTTATCTCACCGCCGTGAAAGTGGGTCACGACGGCGACGTACGACGGCGACGGCGACTTGTGCGCACGCTTCGATTATCGATTAAACCATTCCGCGAGCAGGCGCCGTGAATCCGTGGTCGCCGTCGTTCCGAGATCTCATCGCTCGTTCCTCAGAACGGGTGAGAGATTTCAAATCGCTCTCTCTAGCGCGCTAGCATTCGTGTTATCATCACGCGCGCACGGCCGCGACGGGAGAGCGAGCGAGAGAAACCGATGCGAGATCGAGCGATTCACGTCACCGCCGTCGCCGCTGCCGTCGCCGCCATTGCGACGGGAAAGATGCGGTGAAGTTTGCCGCGGAAGAGACAAGAGCTGTGTCGGCCAGTTGGGCGGGCGGAGCGCGCGAGTGGTCGGCTCTCGCGGAAATCGGCCATCTTGCTTAGTGCACGCTTGGACCTCGTAACGGATAGTTGTTCGTCTCCGTCAGCCACCCTCTTCGGGCGGTCGTGCGTGTGCTGGCGGTGGTAAGAGCAACGAGGCTCTCTACGTGATCCGCGAGCGCGGCGGAATCACAACTGTGGAAAAGAAGGAAGAGAAGAAAAAGAGTGTGAGTGTGTGTGTGCGTGCGTGCGTGTGTCAACGAACGTTGTAACGCGGCTTTACGCGAGTCCGGCGGCAGGATGGCGGGCAACGCGGGTATGGAACAGTTGATCCCGATCGTGAACAAGCTGCAGGATGCGTTCACACAACTCGGCGTGCATATGCAGCTCGATTTGCCGCAGATCGCGGTGGTGGGCGGCCAGAGCGCGGGCAAGAGCTCCGTGCTCGAGAATTTCGTCGGCAAGTGAGTATCTCGAGGGCTGATGTACAATCGAGTATCTCTCCTCGGTTACCTCCTCCTCTCACGACCTCGGACGGATTCCGAAAGAGATGATACATTCTTGTTCCGAGAAAAAAGAAAAAGAAAAAAGTCTTCGTCTCTTGTAAAAAAAGAGAATTTTTCGCACGCGGACGATATATCGAAGCCCTTCCTCTCTTTGCCTATCTTGATCGTTAACTCTACCTGGCACTCGAAGGCGGGCTCGATCGAATGCGATCAATGAACATCACCGCCACCGATCTCCTTTCCGAATCTGTTTAACATGTTCTTTTCTTCCCTGCTTCTTTTTCGTGCTCTCTCCGCTCCCGAATTCCACGTATGTTTTTTCTCGAATATAAAAAATGCATAACGCAGTTATTCTTCCGAACTCTTTTATTTCGATTTCGCGCTGACGTCTACGTCGTCGTGGACGTAAGTCCTAAGGCGTGGCGGAACGCACGCGGCTTTTCGACTTCGCCGCGACGTCGTCATCGTCATCATCGTCATTATGATCATTTTCATCATCATCATCATCATCATTTTCATCATTATCATCATCATCATCATCATTGGGAACCGCTTGACAGTTAATCGTTTCATGTGCGATATACGTGGCGTAAAGCAACGCGTACGGAGCAAACGCACGAACGACGGAATCGCGACGTCAGAACGCCCACAAGACGACCTGTCAAGTGTTTTCTTCGCGACGTCCTCGTCGGAGAACACAGAAGCGCCTGTTCATGCGCAAAATCGACGAGACTACGTTCACGTAGCGAACGCTTCTCGTCATTCACGTCGTTTCTGACGTCGATTAAACGCACAACCTGCGATTACGCATAATATCAATATATAATGATGACCAATATAAAAATATAAAATGTCAATTGAAGTAAAAATAGCCGGGGAATAGTAATTCAATCTAGATATGATTTTTATGTTGAATTTATCCGCTTACTTAACATACGATATATTAAATAAATAGAATTTATATATATATATATATATAAAATGAAATTTTTTTACATATATATTTTTTTTATAATTCTTGAAATGATTTTACAATTATTGTTATAGCAGTTAATTTGTCATCTTGTACAAGACATTCTTGTCATATTATAAATCTGCTCTTTATGCTTTAGATTTGCATTAAAACTTTTTCTCTTTTGCCAAATTTTAAATATATATCTATTTTACAATGTATGTATATATTAGTTCAACTAGACTAGATCTTATATTGAATATCAGAATTGGCTTTGCAAAAAATTGATATAAATCTGTAATTTTATATTAAAGAAAGTAGAAACAAATTTCTACGTGTGTATCATAAAGAATGTATCATAAAGAGATAAGAGAATATGCGTATCATAAACAGAGAGAAGAAAAATATCATGAAATAAATGATTGTTATCACTATTAGACTATATTTAACTATATTTTCGAATGCATATTATCTATATACTACATATCATCTACAACTATTTCATTGAATTAGTGCTCTCGAATAGCGTATTGTATATATACACATTAATTTTAATGTGTCTATATCTATATAATGTTGATTGAAGTTGATTATAACGAAGAATATATCTCTTTCAGAGACTTCTTGCCAAGAGGTTCAGGTATTGTGACAAGGAGACCGCTCATCTTACAACTGATTAACAGCCCAACTGGTGAGTCATAATGTATAAAATATATTACATTATTTTTTATGCTATTTATACAATAATTAAACTGAAGTACAAAATTATCTTTTAGATCTGATAATACCCTTGTGAAATCTCTATTTTTAAGAGCAAGAATTGATTTATAAAACGTAGACTTTTCATATGCTCGTAATATCATCTTGTTAACCTATTGACCCACACTCATGGCAAATATTTTCCTTTTAAGCAAGGGTCGCATTAATGCTTAATGCATTTAAGTGTCATTTTCTATTTGACCTTCCTTAAATATTTTTTTTATTATGAATATTTTGTTTATGTGTTGATTAAATTTATAAAAAATATTTATTAACTTTTGCATTTTATTGTATAAAACAATAACAATAAATATTAATATTAGAGTAATTAAATTACTTTGCCTCTTGAACTTTTGATGAGTTATCATACTTCCTGTATCACTTCCCGAGCCTAAAATTATGATAAGCTCTAAATTAGCTGCATCCAAACAGAATAAGTATAATAGATATTAAAATATATGAAATATTATTTCAATATTATTTCAATATTTTTGTTTGATTATTCCATTTTTTAAGTAACAGGAATTGATGTTGGATATTGAAACAATTTATTTTCTTTGTTACATTACAGAATTTGCAGAGTTTTTACATTGCAAAGGTAAAAAGTTTGTGGATTTTGAAGAGGTACGGAAGGAAATCGAAGCAGAAACAGACAGGGTGACTGGAAGTAACAAGGGTATTTCTAATATACCAATTAATCTCAGAGTATATTCACCCAACGGTTAGTATGATAAAAAAATTGCTTCTAAAGGAATTGCTTCTAAAGGAAATGATAATTATTTTTTACTAACATATATTTATCTTTGTAGTTCTAAATTTGACATTAATCGATTTGCCTGGACTTACAAAAGTACCAATCGGAGATCAGCCAGCAGATATAGAATCCCAAATTAAGGCCATGATCTTTCAGTTTATTAAACGTGAAAATTGTCTTATATTGGCAGTTACACCAGCCAATACTGATTTAGCCAACAGTGATGCTCTGAAACTTGCTAAAGAAGTAGATCCACAAGGTATCTAATTAGACATACAATGCCATTGTTAATTCTTTCTTTAAAATTAGACATTAATTTAACACAATGTTGCAAGGTGTACGTACAATTGGTGTTATTACTAAACTGGATCTCATGGATGATGGCACCGACGCGAGAGATATTTTGGAAAATAAGTTGTTGCCATTGAGAAGAGGTTACATTGGTGTCGTCAATAGAAGTCAAAAAGATATAGAAGGACGGAAGGATATCAAAAATGCTTTAGCTGCTGAGCGAAAGTTTTTCCTCAGGTATCTAATCTTTGAAAAATTTTTGAAAAAATTACTATAAGACTATAGTTTAATCTTTTCTTTTCTGATGATATAACTTTTGTTTACTTTTTTTTAGCCATCCAGCTTATCGTCATTTAGCAGACAGGTTAGGTACACCATATTTACAGAGAGTTCTAAATCAACAATTAACAAATCATATCAGGGATACCTTGCCAGCTTTAAGAGATAGATTACAAAAGCAGCAGCTAGCTTTAGAGAAAGATGTCGAGCAATACAAACATTTCAGACCCGATGATCCCGCAATCAAAACAAAGGCTATGTTACAGTAAGTGTAAATTCAGAATTTTCAAATATGTTGATTTACAATACTCAGTGCTTGTCTTCCATTCATAAAATATGTTGTGAAAATCACAAATTTATATCTTCTAGCAGAATATATCACATATATATGTATATATACATGTCAAAATTCTTTCAATAAATGTATAATATATTTTCATTGTGAAGTAATAATTATGCAAATGAAATTATTAAATTTTTTATCTTTTCTAATATTTTTTATTTTATAGAGGGTAGAGGGTCTTGGAGTTTTAGATTATTTGCTTTCTATTTTTCAGATCAATTCAATTGTATATGTAGGTATCTTTGTGTTTTCCATTAGTTTTCTTTAACAAGAATAGCGTGCCATTTGCATGAAATTTGGACTAATTAAAAACTGCAATTTTTTTCTGGTTGCAAATGTTTTTTTTTTTTAGGAGTGAAAGATAATCTGATGGCATAAAACTATTCTGCTATGAGAAAACTAACAAATAAAACTGTTAACAAAAAAATATTTTAATACCTAAACTATATACTATGATATAATACATAACATGATATAATATATATATCTTTATGAAGATAATATATGATATTTTTATTATAGATTTGCAAATTGTGATGCAATGAGAAATTATTTTAAATATATTTTGTGAATGATAGATAACATAGTAATATCATAGATAATATCAAGACTCTCTATCCATATAACTAATATTATTTTAGCAGGTTATATTACACAAATTAATAGCAAATTATTTTTAAGGATGATACAGCAGCTTCAATCAGATTTTGAGAGAACTATAGAAGGTTCAGGTTCAGCACAAATTAATACTAATGAACTCAGTGGCGGCGCGAAGATCAATAGACTTTTCCACGAACGTTTCCCATTCGAAATTGTTAAAATGGAATTTGATGAAAAAGAATTAAGGAGAGAAATCGCTTTTGCCATTAGAAATATACATGGTGAGTTTCTCTTAATTTTATTGTTAATTGACAAAAATCTAAGTTATAAGAAAAAAAAATATAGATTTATCATATCAAATTACTAATGAAGTTTTAATACAATAGGTATCAGGGTAGGATTATTCACTCCAGATATGGCTTTTGAGGCAATAGTCAAGAAACAAATAAACAGACTTAAAGAACCAAGTCTCAAATGTGTAGATTTAGTTGTGCAAGAACTTAGTAATGTTGTACGCATTTGTACAGATAGGGTAAGTCAATAGTAATTGTGATATAATAAAAGATAAGAAACTTATCAAAGTCTAATGATAAAATATAAAAGAATATGATTTTTATATATGTCGATATTTTATATGAATTATAGATGTCACGTTATCCCAGACTAAGAGAAGAGACGGAACGTATCATAACGACACACATCAGGCAGCGTGAACAAATGTGTAAAGAGCAGCTAATTTTGCTAGTGGATTGTGAACTTGCATATATGAATACGAATCATGAAGATTTCATTGGTTTTGCAAAGTAAGTAATTGTTCAACATTTTACATTATTTGTTAGATATTTTTTACATATTTTCTTAGATTTAATTATTATTTATACAAAAGTGAGCAGTAGTCAGAAACTTTTAGTTTTCTTAAGTTAATACATCTAGTTCCTACATGTTATTTTTGTTTGCTTGCTGACATATTTTCTTCTTTTAAGTTAAATTTAATATAGCTATTAAATAGCAAGAGACGTTGTTATAGTATTTAGACAAAGATGTATGTTTCAAAAGAGTGCTTTTAGTTGAAAAGATATTAGTTAAAAAGATAGCAATATATGAATTCACGTGTATTGCATTATAGAATTTCTATAAAGTTTTTAATATATTCTGTATATAATATATTTCTTATTTCATATAATGAAGCATATCTTATAGAAGTCCATTTTATAGAATATATTTATTTCTATAAAATTTGAAAAAATAGTTATATAGTTAATATATTTAAAAAAACTCTCTTCAGTATTATTATATTATGAAAAAATTATTTATAAATTTAAGATACAAGTAGTGTTAGATTAAAAGCAATAAATCACACATACAGCTTGCTTAGTGCTTATTAGAATATAAACAATTATAAAAATAATTTGTTAAGAAGTTCTTTCTAAAAGTTTAAGTAAAACAACTAAAATTTTAAATGTCTTTGAAAGATAGAAAATCGTACTACACGTGATTGATATGTCACATTATTTGTTTGCTTGCCATTATTTTTTTATTCAAATTATCAGCGCATTATTTTCACAGTCAATGCATGTCTTGCTAAAATCAGCTCACATAGCAATCTATGATCACGCTAATATTCTCAGCTCGTCCTCCTTTCAAGGCCACAGGCCGCTCTAGAATTTGACAAGCAATAACTTCTGTAGTATTATTTCTACTCGATGTACACTTGTATGACACTATGCTAAAATCATATTTAAATATGTTAAATTTTCATCCATATATTTGCTTTTGTAATATTAATATTATCTTAGTCTATTTCTGCTAATTATTTATGATTAATTTTTTATTTTGTTTATAGTGAAAAATGCAATCGCATATTACAATTTATAAAATTTTCAGAGGTATCTTTAAACATTGAATAAAATTAAAAATATTTAAAATTTAAAATTGAGTGATAAATTATAGAATATTAATGATTTAAAGAATGATGTATTAATGATTGTTAAAGAAATAATTTCTCAAATTATTAAGAATATGGAAATGCATTTGCATATTACATTCTTTGTAGATCAAATTTGTATTGTTATGGGATTAGGATTATAAGCATTTCTATGTAATTTATTTCATGTTTTTGATCTTTTACGATAAATTATAATGTCTCTGAAAATTAATTATAAAAAATAGTTTTACAAAATTACATTAGATACTTAAATAGCTAATGTTAATAATATAAATATAAGCGTATAACTGAAGAAGTAATAGGCTTATATAAATTCAATAATGATGTTGCTGAAGATTAAAATGTCATAAATTTTCTTGATTTTATTTGTAATGTTATTGAGGATAAGGTATACATTCTGTTCAAAACTTTACATTTTCGTAATTCTTCACTTTAATATATAATTGTATACAATTTAATAAGAAATATAATTAAATGACAAAATTACGACATATACCTCATAAATTTATATATCTATCTATGAAATTATGTATGCCTTACCCTAATCAAAGTAATATGGCTTTATCCTGAGATGTATTTCTTTTTTCTCATTATCAATTTCTTCAAACTTCACAATTAAAAAAATGATTTAATTATATCGGCAGCGCTGCAGCCAGTAGCCATAATGCAAGGTAAGAATATTAAAGTACATTTCAACAAAAATTTACACTACATTTTTATCCTTTTCCATTTTCACGCTCCTTTTTTATGCTTATCCTTCTTTTGATATCTTACTGCTTCTATTTTAAGTTGAAATACTAATATATTATAAGCCAAACTTTAGTAGTCTTTAGCTTGATATTGTGTTTATCTATATCCTGAATATT